CATGATCAGGAGATCAAGAGAGAAAGGATTAAGAAAAAGGATTAATATGTTCACAACCAAGAGACCAGAAAAGGGTCTTGGGTATAAATACCCGTGCCAGGACTGGGAGGGTGCAACTTCTACTTCGACGACCAAGACGATGGAAGCAGGGCCATAGTTTAGGCCTTGATTAGATCCGATCTTAGACCACCGCCGAGATTGGCCACCAAATATTCCATCGCCTTAGTGAGTCGCCGGACACCCATATTGTACTCACTGATATGTATAATTCCAGACAAGCAGGATGGCCCCAAATGTAGGTAATATCGTCTCCCCGTGTCCATTTGATAACTTGAGGTTATGTCCTATTGTCATAAACTCCAAGTACGTTATTGTGTCATTGTTCGGGTACTTTCCAAAACACCTTTGACAAGGATCGGAACTTGGAAATCGTCTGGTGGAGGAGGCTAGAATGTGGAGATAATCCCGAGGACGGAGCCATGAATAGTGCACCAAAGGCGAAGAGGTGGTGTGGGAGATCCCAACAGAGTTTTAGTCAGAAATATACTTTACCTCACGCCATCACACAATGTGAAGAGTCACATTGAGGGCCTATGGCACAACGGTGAGCTCATCACCCTCCTGTGGGCGTTGCTTCTGCACACTGACATCCCCTCTAGACCTAGTCGCGACTACACTCATCTTTGATGAATGTATGTCCTCATCCTTGACGAATGTATCCAGCCTCATCATTATCAATCCACTCCCACCTTCTATGTGAGAGCTTGCTTTACATGTGTGCACGTACCGATTTACTACAAAAGAAAAAAAAACCATTTGCTTAGTTTTAATTACATATTTTATTTTGCAGCATCTTTTAGTTTTTGTTTTCATATTCTTTTTGGACACATACATCTATCCTAGCTCGTGTATTCAGATAGATTACAAGCTTTGAGAAACATAGAGAAATAAATTAAAGGCAATATACATGTTCACGTTGCTTACCCATATACTTTCATTTATGTGTGTTGTGGTGTGTGATTTGTCAGCTATGGGCGGATTATTGTAAAAATGATAACTATTACTTTGATTTTTTTGCATAATATTGATGATGGTTTATGTTAATACATTGCCTTTGTAAGGCCCCTTACACAACGTATTATATTAATCCATTGCTTGATTAAGGTAATAAGGTGATGCTTGCAGTTTTGTGATGTTTTTGTGTCCCTGTATATGGTTAGGAAATGGTTTTCCCCTTCTTTGTTACTGTGAACTGCCTATAAATTTTCCATGATCATTAGAACTTTAGAACTTGCTATATGCGAACAAAATCATTGCAAACCCATTCCTTTGTAAAGTAGTAACACAAATTGATAGCAAAAAGGATCGTATAATGCATACTATGTGGCCATGCCTCCATTGTTTTCTTCTAAATGGCAAGCATCACAATTGTTGGATGTTTCCTTTCACCTTTTCAAACTATTCTCCTCAAATACACGGTGACTTACTACTAATCGAAAGTTGCTGACTGACGGATGTCCTACCCTTCAGCATAGGGGTTTTGGCACTCGTCTATACAATTTTGTGTGCTAGCTTTCATTTATGTTACTCGCAATTATTATTTATATATTTTAGTATTTTTTTATCAACGTGAAATCTTGGGCCCCTAGGATGTTTTCTGCTCACCTACCACCATTCATCTTTACTCAATCTATCTTTATTTATATGATTTATTGATTTATTGACGAAAGTTTCATCTGGTCACCTGCCTCCCATACTACACACTGTTTACATATATTCTGGTGTATCTTTCCCATCAACATGGAAATCTTGGGCATTTATTTCTCAATAAGATGGTTGTGCTAACGTACACATTTGACATTATCCAATTTATCTATCTTTATTAGTGAAAGATTTGTCCCGCCACCTGCCTCCCTTGCACCATTTTTATATAAGAGAGATGATACACATCCTTACACTAGTAGAAAACAGGGCTTTGGTCCAGGCCGGGTCAGCCCATTAGTCCCGGTTCAGTCCAGAACCGGGACCAATGGGGGCATTGGTCCCGATTCGTGAGCCCAGGGGGCCGGCCGGGCCATGTGGGCCATTGGTCCCGGTTCATCTGGACCTTTTGGTCCCGGTTGGTGGGATGAACCGGGACCAATGGGCCTCGTTCCGGGCCCACCACCATTGGTCCCGGTTGGTGGCTTGAACCGGGACCAAAGGCTCACCTGTAGTCCCGGTTCATGCCACCAACCGGGACCAATGAAGTGCCTATATATACCCCCTCGCGTGAGAGCAGAGCACACTGCTCTGTTTTTTTCTGGCCGAGGGGGAGAGGGCTTGGTGGTGCTCTATCTCACCTCCTATGCACACAAGGTGTTCGATGGAATGCCCGAGCCACACTACTTAAACTTTCTCCTCTCCAAGCTCGGCCTCCAAGCTCCATTTTCCACAATATTTGTCTAGGTTTAGCGGTCCGTCATGCCCCGTCCCCGTCTTCAC